TCAGTTGTATCCCACCTCGAATATATCCCCAAAAAAGTTCCGTCCCAAAGTGGGGATATAAACGAGGTATGACTGTAATATAGTTGAAAAACGCTTTTACTTTAATAAAGTATGTTGTGATGACTATAAATCTTCTTGAATTTGATCCTAATCGATTCCATTATAAATAATTTTGTAATTCGACAAATTACCCCACCAATAACGATAATGACTCACGTGCAAAAGGGAGATATCAAGTTACACAGACACGTAACACGATATTAATATAAAGATGAACATACTGGTTGGTTAAACGCGCAATAATAACTGCACTTATTATCTTGACTGTCACCATGTCAACAACAAGAAGCAACACCGCTGCCTCCACTGCTACATCGTCGACGCTGCCACCACCCGCTGCAGCCATGATAGTGTCTGGCCCTTTTGAAGAGGTTAGTATGTTAAAAAGTAAAAGTTTATTTTATTATTGGGGTATGAGGAACATAGCAATCGCACTATACTAGCGTAGCACCACCTGTCTCTCTCCGTTGGGACTATGTCGTAGTCAATAGGCTACCCAAGGGATTAAGTTCCGTAGGCATTAAGGATATTCTAGATGCAATGCAGTTTAGATAAGATTTGTGAACTTTTACTGATCCTCTATTACTTAACTTTAATAATATGTATAATGTCTAACTTATTCTTCCTTGTATTGCAGGGCAATTGTACAAACTGCTGCCACCACCACCACCATGACCATGACCATTATAACATCAATTTAATTACGCCTACGGTGGAGGTGGAGGTGGTCAGGCTACTACGGACAGTCGGGCGGTTGTGTGTGGCATTCGCGTGTCTGGTGGCAGTTTATGTAATAAAAAATTTTATGTAAATAATAATAAAGTGGCATGGCAATAATTTTGGGCGTATATCCATGATGAGTGAAATCAATCTGCATCGCGAGAAACCCTAAATCAGCAAGCAAGAATCTAATGCTCATGAATTTACATGCATGTTAAACGTAACTGTTGTCCATGTGTGTGCAAAAAATTGACCGGAATATTATATAAGTACAATTTTGAATTTTGCATAGAACGATCTGCTTGATTTTCGAAAACGCGAAATTAACCTTCATCGCTAGAAACGCTAAATCAACAACCAGGAATCCTGTGCTTATAAAGTTTACATGCATGTTAAGCGTAACTGTTGTCCATGTATGTGGGGAAAATTGACACAAAATATTAAGTACGATTTTGAGTTTGCATATAACGATCTACTTGATTTTCGAAAACGCGGAAATTAATCTTCATCGCTAGAAACCCTAAATCAGCAAACAAGAATCATATGCCTATAAAATTTACATGCATGTTAAACGTAACTGTTGTTTATGTATGTGCAAAAAATTGACACAGAATATTAAGTATAATTTTGAATTTGCATATAACAATCTGTTTGATTTTTCGAAAACGCGAAATCCATCAAGTAGATCGTTATATGCAAACTCAAAATAATACTTAATATTCCGTGTCAATTCTCTGCACACACATCGAGAACAGTTATCCTTAACATGCATGTAAATTTCGTGAGCATTGGGTTCTTGGTTACTGAGTAGTGATCATCGACGGCGGAAATTGATTTCGCGTATTCGAAGAATCAAACGAATCGGTATAGTCATATTTAAATTGTGCTTAATATTCTGTATCAATTTTTTGCGCACACATTAATGACAGTCATCATTAACAGGTATGTGAATTTCATAAGCATTGGATTCTTGGTTATTGAGTTAGTGATCATCGACGATGAAAATTGATTTCGCGCCTTCGACAAGCCAGTCGTTATATATACATTATACCATTACATCCCAACTTCTCAATAAACTATCATAAGATGAGGGTAGCAATGAAAAAAGTTAGTCAGAAGCACATTTTTCACGTCTCTTCATGATCAATAATGCAACTTGTTCCCTACATGGTAATGTAACCTTACATATACTGGCAGCTAAGAACAGTTGGTGTTTACGTAACTCTTGGTAGCTGTTGTAATTGAAAGTTGTATTTCAAAACATATAAGGGTGACTTTAGTGGCTGCTAACTCAGATTGCACATTGCGCTCTCGCTTTACCCATATACGTATATATATGGCAAGAATTAGTATTAGGTGTGTAGTTAATTGTCCATGCCATGCTGTAGTTAGTGAAGAATTAATTTCACTTGACAACAAATTCTGATACTACTTACAAAAGCTTCCTTCCCTCTTTTCTCGAAAATGGTTGCTGTAATAAACAAAGTGGTAATAATTAAAAAGGTTGTTTATGAATAGAATTCTATTAACATAAGTATAGCCATTACCAGCGTCTAGTTGCAACAGAAGAAATTATGCGCAATGTGAGAAGAAACTATAATGCTACTATATTTTGCCGGGTGAAACTTTGTCAACAGATCCTTTTAAAAAGAACGCTTATTTCGTTGCAAACGCAAAATTGTTCGGAAAAGTAAGTTGGGAGGTAAAATTTTTGTTATAACCATGTCAGGTGTTCGATTGTGACATTCTATACCTTTGTTATGCAGCAAAATCCAACCCCTAATTTTACATATGTGTGACTATATGTGCCTTCGGAAAATGATCGACAAAAATTTCGGAAAACACACTTCCCTATCGGATTTCGTGAAATGTTCGTGACTAATATGTTTCTAAAGATAATACATATGTTCTAAGATGCACTTCCAGTTCAATATCAGTGGTCATCTTATGGTCATCATATGTGACATTAATTCCAACTGTTTTCAAAACATGTCTCAATTGATTATCTTCTAACCTGTTACTAAACTGTAGTAATAGATTGGATAATTTAATAAACTGACTGATTCTATCCTTACTGTTGCTGACAATTGATTTCAAAGTTGTAGATAGTTGCTCATTCAATTTAACCTTGCTCAGATGTGTTGTAAACGTCTGTCCATAGTCATCATCATAATCATCATTATCATTGTCACTTTCAAAGACAATAAAATCTTCCTCAAACACATCTTCAGTCTCTGTATTATCGGGCTGCTTTCCCTTTCCTTTGTTTTTGGTCCCTGAAGATGACTGCTGTCCAATCTCCTAATATTAAATGAGTTGTATTTTCATTGTGGGCGTCAGAAGAGTTTTTGATTTATATCAACAATATGGAAAAATTATCTTGAAAAAATGCTAAAATTTACCCAGCTGTTTCCTGACAAGCACTCGCGGTCCATACTAATACTAATACAAAAGCTTTTATTGATCCGACTTCTCAATACTGGGCAACTGTCTTTAGATTTGCGGGGAAATTCAAATGCAATTCTTAGCGGTTGGTGAATTCGACGTTTGTTTATCCTTGTGTGATGTGACACAAATTAAAATGGAGCATTCTAGTGCTTTTCTCGAGATGTGGTAACACTAAACTAAACTATTACTATTGCTTCAACGATCAAGTAACCATTGTTCACAGTAATGCTAAAGAAATTTCATCTTCTATCCTTAATAGTTAATGGACTTCTGAGACCTGGTCGCCTGGCAAGGCCTTTCCTACCGCAACAGGTGTCTAATACGAAGAAACTATGAAACCAATGAACCAAACAAATCCTTCGTTCGTTTGTGGAAATAGCCACTCCTCATGTTACGTTTTTGACTTCCAATACGTCTGAAGATTTATATAACGAAAGTTCTAAGAATATAACGAGCCGTCAGAATGACTCGGCTCTTTTAAATTCTCTCATTATAACGAATTCTAATAGAAAAATAGTTATACTTCGTTACAGAAATACTATGCCGCGTTATACCAAAGTTTCAAAAACCAGTAGCTGGAATAATGGCATTATCTTTTTATCCTACCAAGTGGAAAGTTTATATTTAAATTTCGGCCGGTGGCCTTTGGTCAAATTATCGAAAGAAAATTTTCACCCTTCTCCTCAACGAACGAAATGGTTTAAACTATTTATATTTTTACATTTATTTAAAATTAAACTATCAATTCAAGAATTACTAATACAGATACTTATAAGTGATGACAGTAATAGTCCACGGTCAGGATCGATTCCATGCGCGAACCTTGTACTCATTCTGGGCCAGAGAGGGCGTCACAAATTGCACAATATCAGAGTAATCTTGTCCTGGGATATCCTCGAATCTGAAACGCCTCAAAAGTGATGAGATTATAAGACGCATCTCTAACAAAGCAAAGCTGTGACAACGTATAGATACGTGTTAATATAGAATTCTGACGTCATATGTCGAAATTGCATATATGTAAATACAAGTGAGCTTACTTCTGTCCAATGCAGTTTCTCGAACCAGCTGAAAATGGATAAAATGCATCGTATGGTATGTCATCCTTAAACCAGCGTTCAGGGACAAATTCATCGACATCATTACCCCAGTATTCGGCAGAATGCTGAAGTGCGTAAAAGTTAGTGAGTACTAAAGTACCCTTTGGAAAGAGTACACCGTTTATAATTTTATCCTCTGTTGGTGAACGCCCGCTACCTGTTATATGGAAATAATAGGTCATATACCAATAAAATTACTGTTGTTGTGACAGTCATTTAAGTCGCATTCTCACGACAGATTCGAACAGAAATTTTCAACGCATTGAAGAAGACTCGCTAGTTACCTCCATCTGTTTAGTGAGAAACAGTGATGATAAGCAAAGACGTTTAGATCAAAATCGAGTGGAAATTTGGACTTATCAAACGACCAGCTTACCCAAACTAATAGGCCATAATCTCATCGTCTCGTTTATGACAGCATTCAAATATGGTAATTTCTTTAATTTCTCATGTTTTGGTAGCTCATTTCTCGGTAAATCAACAAACTCGTTGTCCAACTCCTCAATGAGCTTGTGTATTTTACTCGGATGGTTTAACAGCATTATCAGAACGAAGAACGTGCTAAAACTTGTCGTATCACTCCCACCAATAAGAAATTCAATAATTTGCTCATAAATGTCAATATCCGGTAATGCTGCTTCTCCTTCCCCAGCATCAAGAATAATCTGGAGAATATCTTTGCGACGAGTACCGGCTTCTTGACGACGACGTCTGATGAGTTCGCTTGAAAACTTTAAAGTAGGATCGATGAGTCTGGATGTGTTTTCACGTAAAACACGTTAGACTCAAATAATAATAACGACTTACGTCATACAGATATCTATTACTCTTTATGAATGGTTTTAATATTGGAAATCCGTTTCTCTATGCGTATATTGTCAAGTGAGCTTAACGAGCGTAATTTAATTAATAGAAATCTTCCGTGAAACCATACAAACCCTGATACGCCTGCTCAACTCTACAACAACTTCTTTCGGTAGCGGATGATTTCCTTCTTTAACCATATTAAAAGTACCTCCGAATGCAGTTTCACCAATTGAATCCTACAATTTAAGGTAAACAGGTTGTCGACGTTAAGTGACAACCATCAGTACAGGCAGATTAATCTGTTCTTCGTTCACGTACCAGAGTTGTATTAACCATCATTCTGTACAAGTCTATGACCGCTCCATCGGTCGGTGAATTTTCTTGTATCAGCGAATCGATCTTATCGTTCAAATTACGAATGCACATTGACATATATGGTTCAAGCGACCGGATGTATTTGATAGAGAAAGCCGGTGCGAGCAATCGACGCTACATATTGATGTAGAGACGAACAATTAACAGGCTGCAGAAAGGATATAATGCGTCATGTATTTGCGCACTTACCCTTTCTTTATGGAATGCTTTGTCGCTGATTTCACGCACGAAAAGTATATAAATATTAGATTCGTCTTATATACAATACGTCTTCATATCATTAAAGTACTCCATAGAAGAACGCTTACGTGGTCGAGAACAATGTATGTAAATGAGGCGCAACTCTAAATATCTTATAGAATTCACCTTTTGGCCAATCCTGTTAAATATGACAGTATTGTGTGAGACAACATCAATAATACTGCGCTCGATATTTGTACGTACTCACTTCTTTAACAACAATCTGAAATCATGGAATACAACAGACATTAGCACGCATAACTAATTCAAAAGTATGCCAGTAACACTAATTTTATACCTGTCTGATAATGTCTTTATCACTGACAAGAATCATATCTGGGCCTGGGAAATTTCTCGAATTAGTTGCCATCATACTAGAATTAACGTGTTTTAGCGCGATCTACCTATTCTGACTATTTTGCCATACTTGGGTCTTAATTCACGTTGATACCAATGCCATCTAATAAACAAGAGTATTAATAACGGTAGATAACTAACGAAAATTTGTTACCTGTAATTACCTTTTGCCTTTAGCGCCCCTGAGGAGAAGCGGGATAGCGCTTAACGCTGAAAGCTTTGGCCCAGGAATCTTACTCAACGGCCCAAAGTACGCAACGTAAATTGTCTGTTGAATTTACGCATATGTCACGTTATATATTATAAAATATAGTGGATTTGAACACATAGTAAGCAGCAGTATTTCTTACTCGGAACATATACTTGAAGAGTAATGCAATGGAAATGATTCCAATCGCATTGACTGCATCATCAACGTAAGGAATTGCCATTATAAAGGATTGCATAAAATGTTGTTACAAGTGTCTTTTACGGACAGCGATTTTGGACTTTGAACGGCCTCTTTTATTTGCGCGAATTAGATCTGTCCATTATTAGTATGATCGTTGCTCGCAAATGTTATGGCCTTTATATGGCATGTTGTAAAGGACCCAAATGTAACACGAGAAAATAATTTTTTTTTTTCACCCCAAACTCTGTCTGTCAAAATTATATTCCCCGAGCCCAAACAAACCTTTCTAAGTGCACACCCATTGGGAGCAGACAATTGCGTACAATTATAGAGGGTATGTAGAAATGGTTGGTTGTGTGACACAACGAAATTAATAATATGGATAATTATATTAATATTAATATTAGTATCGATTTATTGTTTAATTAATAATTACTTCTTCCACCTGAATACTTTTCCCCACTAACAGATTTATCAAGATTGCTTAACAATTTTATCTGTTTATCTGTGTCGTTTTGTTGTAACAAAAATAAGCGAACACTTTTAATGCACTACTGGCACTACTGTCATCATTTCTTCGACATTTAAACGTCTCTGTGATTTCTCCAATTAGTTGGTCATGATAAGGAATATCATATACGATATTCTTTTCAGGAATAACCAAAACTTGCATTGTGATCCGAGAGGTGAAGCTTGTTAATTAATTTGTTCAAATTATCAATCGTTCTGTCATCTGTAATATCAATCTTCAAATCATCAATCATCTGTCATGTCAATCTCCATAAACAACAAGTAGTAGCAACTGTATTGCTAACAACAACTATGATTCGTATTTCAAAATATTGGTAATATAATTGGTCCGATCTCGTGCGTGCATTTGGGGATAACAGTTTATATGAACGAGACCGAAAAAAATCATTGCACGTGCAGAATACAAGGGTGTGCATTTATAACTAAGTCCAAGGCTCGGGACCGTGCATTTTAGGGAGGGCGTGCATTTAGAGACGTCGTTTTAGAAAAATATATTTCTCCGTGTAACATTCTTTGGCTTCGTAATATCCGTTGTATGTACAGAAGTTCTTATATGGTTAGCGTTTGAATTTAAAGTCCTCGTTATTTGTATCACAGGAACTTAAACGAGTCCAAATGCAAATATTTGAGTACCATAAAAGATACCCGGGTATTTCCCTAATCAACTATCCGAGAAAAAAGCGCAAAATATCGTGTAACGTTTCCGTTTGAACTTCTCTCTTTTTTTTTTCGTCCTTACTGTTATTGGGGCTTGGAATGCTGAACTTTATCGATCGTAGAGAAACCGGTTCCATTTCAAACAACGTTCTCTAAATAGTCAAAGAACACCTAAAAATGTACCCACGAACGGAAGTATTATAAAAAGGTCCCCATCTCAGGCGTTATTATTAAGATAAACGCAAGGGATGGTGTAATGAGCAAAAGATCGCAGTATCGGATTAATAATGTTTGGACCAAGCGTAATGAGTTGGGAAATCCACAGTCTTTTCTTATTTATGATTAAATTGGGTGACAGATAAGATCATTTCCAACAGGATAATAATAATGATTCTAAACCTTTCATACTGCTTAAAAAAAGTTTGAGCACAATGGACTGCCCTGCATGGTCACCAGATTTAATGAAAAATATGATGTAGAGTGTCTTATACCACCAAAGACGAAGTCTGACAAGATGCAGTAATAGTTGGGGATACTTTACCAGAAATGGCTTTGTGCCTTTAGTAAGATTAAATAGGGGCGGAACCGTCATAGCTTATTCGTTACCATGACTGCTCCAACACACCAAAAAAATTTTTTTATAGGTAAATTAGTAGTTCGAACGAGACCAAACTGGTCTTGACGAGAGTCTCATATATACGAATTATATTAATATGTTGAAGAATCTCTCGAAAAATGTGCATGATGCACCCGTTCATACAGCAAGAATGCTGAAAGAAGAAAATAATATCATATGTCTTCCTTGGCTTGCACTAAGTCCAGACGTGAACATGAACTGGATAGAAGAATTTGATCCCATAACCCTTGCCAAAAAATGAGGAAGAGATATGGGAAATACGACATCATTTTAATGTTAACATTCGTCAAGTCTTATAAAATAACATGCTAAATAGAATTGCGGCAGTTGTACAAAACATACGAAATGTGACTAGGTATTAGAATGGTTTAATATGCAATCTCTTACTCTATGCTTAAACTTTGTGATTATGTATTTTTAAATCATTCTGAATACGATTTTTAATAATTTTAATCATGTTATTATTATTTTGCCTTTCTGACAATGACAAATCGGCGAGACTTTCGTTGACTTCGACGATGTGTTCTAAATTTCGTATATTACTAGCTTTTGTGCACGCTCATTAATAATCTGCAATTCGACCATATCAATATAAGAGCAATTTACGACGGAATTGTTTTGAAATAATGTTAATATATGACAGTCGCCATTGTAGTTACAATTTATTCTCCCTGCGCTTTCTAAATATTCCCTATTGTTTACTCTCTGTACGAGCAGCTATTCGGTTCAATGCACTTCCACTCATAAACCATTCAATCTGATCCTTTGACATGGTATGATTTGTCTTGATTTCTTTAACACTTCCGTCTGCCTTGGTAAGCTTCACAATAACATCCTTACCAGGCTCAATTCCAACTACGTCTACAGTATCCACTAAATCACCCCCATTGAAGAGGGTATAATCGTCTTCGTTAGCGAATACTAGAGGAAGGACACCTTGTTTTTTGAGATTAGTCTCGTGAATGCGTGCAAACGAGCGTGCAATGATTAAAGGACAACCGAGATAGCGAACTTGCAACGCTGCATGTTCTCGCGCGGAGCCTTCGCCGTAGTTGTGCTATGCGAGAAATGTCAATTAACAAAAGCATTCCATAGAAGAAACACAGAAATTCGTAGAAACTTGTTCTAATTAAAGGCTGACTATAAAAGAGAAATAATTGATACATACGTCGGCAATTACAATCCAAGCAACGTCATTTTCTTTATAATGTCGTGCAACATCAGGGATACTTCCATCCTTTACAGTATTAGATTATATTGTTAGGGATCTTTGTAATATTTTTACAATAGCACTAATTTAAAAGTTTTGTCGCGTCCTAGTTTGGGACCGGTCCTAAATACTCAGCCCAGAATTCAAGTGTCTCGGTTCCCAACTGAGGAACAACGGGTGGTATGATGCTCACCTCACCAGTCAATACATTCTTGACAACGTTTACTTTTCCGTTGTCATCATTAACAGCTCCAATAAGCGTATTATTAGATATGTTTTCCAAATGACCTTTATATTTTAACCACGGGCCGGCGGCTGATATATGGTCAGTGGTGCATTTCCCGCGCACTTTAATTAGAACTCTAAGCGATTTAAATTCGTGGCCGGGGAATGGTGGAAATGGCGTGAGGAGTTGAAGGCGAGATGATGTCGGAGGAATCTTGATTTCAGTTTTAGAGTTTGGATATGATACTGGTGGAGCATGATGATTGGGATTGCCTCAATATCGCGAAAATAAATAACAAACGTGAGTTGTTTAGCCGCTTATCATAAATCGGGATAATTTACGCTTGCTTTTTACCAGTATCAAATCCAGCATCAGGTAATTCATCTCCATATGGACTACTAAATTTGAATGGGTTCCCATCTTTATCCACTAGCGTGTCCATCATCGGGTTAAATGTTAATTTTCCAGAAAACGTCATCGCTGTTACTAGCTATTGGAAACAAGATTTGGTTATACCCAGATGCCGTACATAGTATGAAGTAAAAACATGTCATATCGCACTACCTCAGGTGAAGCTAAAAAGTTCATCGTCTTCGCATTCCCGTCATTGCGACTTCGGAAATTACGATTAAATGAAGTTAAGATTGCATTTTCCTCATCCGTTGAAATATCCGACCGTTTCCACTATCACAATAGAAATGAGTAATGGCTGATACATACTGTCAACACAATCTATTTTGACTTTACCTGTCCAATACATGGTCCACAGGCATTAGCAAGCACCTTCCCATCGACTTGCTCAAGTACAGCTATTTGTCCATCTCTCTCGATAGTCGCCCTTATTTGCTCGCTTCCCGGTGTGATAAAAAAGCCAGCTTTTGGCTTAATCCCTTTTTTCAACGCCTGTTTAGCAATGCTTGTGACTCTATCCATATCTTCATAACTACTGTTGGTACAGCTGCCAATCAAGCCGACTTTAATCTCGTCTTTCCATCCCTTCTCCTTGACCAGGCTTGCAAATTTGCTTAGCGGAGTCGATAAATCTGGTGTGAATGGGCCATTGATATGGGGTTCAAGCTCGGATAAATTAATCTCTACTATTTGGTCATATTCTGCGTGTAAATCTGCTGAAAGATAGTATCGGTTGGAAGCAGCAGCTTTGGCAACAGGTTCCCGTCGAGTGACAGATAAATATCTGTGCATGCTTTCAGTATATGGGAAGAGAGACGTGGTGGCACCTACCTAATAATAACATGCAGTTGATTATTTACTGAGGACCTTACAATAAACTTCATTCGTTTATCACCTTACCTCTGCTCCCATATTACAAATAGTAGCCATTCCGGTACACGAAAGAGTTTCTACTCCTGGTCCAAAATACTCAATAATATGGCCAGTTCCACCCTAATACCATCAAGAACTTTGAGTACTCGTGCATATATCAGCATTCATTATGACACGTACTACTTACACGAACGGTTAGTTTACCAACAAGATGCAGGATAACATCTTTCGGGCTGGTCCATTCATTCAGTCTTCCAGTTAACTTCACTCCGATAATCTTTGGTGCCTTGAGTTCCCATGGTATAGCAGCCATAGCATCGACAGCATCAGCACCACCAACGCCGATTGCAATCGTACCCAAACCCCCAGCATTCGGAGTGTGACTGTCTGAAAATCATAATTAATATTGTAATATAGTTTGTTATATCTTTGCTGTTTCCATTCAATCCGTCCCTTCCGATTACCTGTTCCCAACATCAATCCTCCTGGGGCTGCATAGTTTTCTAATACAATTTGATGAATAATCCCACTGCCTGGTCGCCAGAATGACATTCCATACTTCTCAGCGGCACTTTGCAAGAAATCATATATTTCTTTATTTGTTACTTCAGCCGCCTGCGTTTTATGACAAATAGGCAATAAAAGCAGGAATCAGAACGAAGAGCATATAGTTAAATAGATTTCATATACATCATACCTTGACATCACGATTCGCACCTTCGTACGCTTCTATCAAGTGATCACAATGAACGGAAGTGGGAACAGCAGTCGTGGGCATTCCAGATAACATAAACTGGAGAATTGCCATCTGAGCTGAAGCATCCTGCATTGCTACTCGATCTACAATCGGATTATAACCAAAATAAATCCAATGCATTATCTCCTTGTTAAATTCATATTTCCCAGAATAAATAATCACCAGGTCTCAACTTTAAGTATGTCTCCCCACGAACTATTGAATCTAATTCATTTGGGTCCCATATATGAGCATATAATATCTTCTCAGTTTGAGTAAGTGGCCTGGAACCAAGTATAGTTTTGGAGATGGCAGATAGATTCGATACTAATGTTTCATATGGAGGTATTATCTGTGCATAATTACGCGGTGGAAGTGTCGCAGATGTAGCAAAAAGCCTGCGACCAATCGGGTGACATCTCGGAAGCTTTAAATATATTAGGTAAGTAATATTAAGAAATTTTAATTAAGTAATTGGTTTTCCTGAATATCACCTGTCGATAACATCTGGATACCACTGAACTGAGTCCCATCTTGCCGTAGACCTTCAACTAATTTTCGTCAAACGAGAACAGAACTTTATTTTCGGTAACACAGAAAGACCCAGATTATCGATATCAGTATGATTATTGCTACGCCACTATTGAAAGAAAGTAACAGTTGACGACGTGTTCCAAGAACGCCATAGCGCTTCGCTTCTTTTCAAGCTTCTGGAGCGAGGATTAGAGGTTTTAGTTATGATTAATGGAATAAAATCTCGACAAAATTAAATACGTGAATGACTTTAAACACAAAAATCTCATTAAGGAATGGTTGACTTTTGACAACTATAGTTACTTTTGACATCAACCAAACTTTTGGTATGATGACGTTATTATTCAAACGTTTGGGGGGGGACAAATCCTTGCTTTTGCAAGATGAAAAACATTGTGTGGGCGAAAACATTGCTGGGTGATTTCTTCACCAGTGTATTACTATGTAGACCGACTATGACAGTAAAATGATGATATAACAATAACTAAATACGAATGCATTTTATTCGTTTCAGAAATTTCTTGCAAGAAATAAAGATATGGTCGCGTTTGAATCACAGGCTATTGGAAGCACGAAAACTACTGTAATGATTTGTTTAGCTCACGTAACCCATAGGTTCATCCTTGATTAACTTAATATGGTTCAGCTCGCTGCTCACGTATTCACCGACACAAATAGGCGGATAGCGATTGTCGTCTTTTGGGAAAGGTTCAAGGGGTTGTAGCGTTGCTTCAGTCGATAGGTGAAGGAAAAACGTCGAAGAAATACGCCACAGCGGTCTATTAGGACGCGTAACCTTAGCCATTTCAACAGCCTATTTTAAAATTCATACAGGGTGTAAAGACTTGTTTCGAACTTTATTTTCTATAAGCAAAAATAATTACCTTCAAGGTTTCCTCAGTTACAATCACTTCATGGTAGCCAGCCAAAATTTCTCCACCGGTCAGCCATTCGAGTTGTTTGCCTGCTTGCACGAGTAAGTAACCGTCTGGGACTTGAACGAGAATTCTGTCGTTCCCATTGCGTGGCCAAATGTATAAGCCAGGATATCTCGATTTTCCGTGGACAGATCTGTAGATTCGTTGAAATCGCAGTAATTCAAAAGGTGATTTATGATATACGATATTTGAATGTCCAACACGCAAAAAAACAAACAAACAAATATATGCTTGGCAATTCATCGAGAAGCAGAACATACATTAAATTAAGATCGTAATGGAATGCTAAGCCAAAGTTGGATAAGTAAATTGGAGATAACAGTTACATTTCCAAGAATGTACTCTCCCCCAACTAACCGGCCAAAATAGATCCTATCTTTCCATGTTTTTCCAAGTCACTACCAGTTGGTGCAAGGAGATGAGCACCGCCAACTGTCATATCGCGGATTGTATTAGAAGCCATTCCGAACCCGATGGCAGCCATTTCCAAGACAGTCAGTCCCGCTCGATGCATCTGATCGCCCCAGTTGTTCATGACGTCTGTCCAAGTATCTTTGAACGCTTTAATACAGAATTAACATACATTCTCGTGAATAAAGAAGACTGCGGTAGTAAATGTAAATTGACGTATTAGACAACGTCACCTTCCGGTACAACAGGTGTAGGATGGAGCCGCGCATATCTTGTTTCTACCGCACGTTGTCCGATAGGCCACATGAATCGCCACTTTGGATCCGGACCTAACGGTCGTATCGGACGATTTTCTTCCGGCATCTTGTATTAAATATATTTTACACAAACCACATTCCCGTTTTACTGACATCTTTTGAGATACATCCTATTGAATGGTGATACATACCCTATCAATAATTTGATGACATTTAGGATCACGAATGCAGCGGGCTTCCTCGGTGAATTCAGGAGTAACTCCGACTTGATATCCAACGTCGGGGCGTGCGTCTCTCATTTTTACCTATCGATCGTGTTTATCATTACATGTTTGATAAAAGTTGACAATACAATTTACCAACCTCGTGGGATTGTGCATAGTAATCCTCCATCATGTCCTATGACACAAAGCGAATATTGAATGTTGCAATATCATCGTCAACTTGTCTTGTCTCTTTTTCTCTTATAGTAGATAGAAGTACGAGTAAATAATCCACAAACCAAGAATCGATCATTGTCTGCTTTTGTCGCTCGTGGGTCTTTAACAAGAATCGCTCCATAATCTCGTAATCCATCCGCAGCCTTGCCACGTTAAAATGGTAGTTGGTTAAATGTACCAAATAAAATAAAGACGCAATAATTGTACTAACCTTTTTACATTCGTGAATGCTTTCAGGTGAAGTATTGTTTTCAAAATAAAGCCCAAAGTCAACTGTGGGAAGCGCAAAAATCCTGGAGTCATTAATTGACGACATAATTGTTTACCGCAACAGACACGAGGTCTCTCCCATATTCTTGTTCTTGTACCACCTGCGCGCATTTGGTTAGTACGGAATTTTACAATACGTGTTTGATTTTTATCTAACTGTTCAAAAATAAATCCTAAATCTCAATGTATCTACCTTCCCTTCTAGTAGCCATGCTTTGACTATAGTCAATATCATGTCATCTTGCTGTTACTGTCAAACATGTCAATTTCGATAATTTTAATTTCTCAATAGTTTTAGTATATACATATATTTTAGTGTAGTATTAGTAGATCTTGATAATCTCGAATCCGTGCAAAAATTTCCTATTCAATAATAGTCAGACAGTTTTATAATAATAAACACAAGAATGTGGTCATTCCGGTGGTTATTTATACCATCGAAGAGCGCCTTTCAAAGAAGTATTGCTACGGGCAGATTATACGCACACTTACCTCTTCCAACATGTTCTATACCACAATACAGACGCTCTTATGTGACATTTAAGAAAAAGTATGTAGATTATTTGTAGCAAGTCTTCAAGACTATGAGCTAATGGCAATAATCCATAAGAAATTTGAAAAAGGTCACATCGCTTTTAAGCAAAGAAGTTGCTGCTATTAAGGAGAAAATCGACACACATGATAAACTGAGTTTATCAGAAAAGGTTCGATATATGATGACATTGATCCTCCACCATTTGTTCATGTTGATTCATTATCCCCTCCCCTTTCTTCCAAATCCATCTTTGTAAAGGCAGAAACACATCATTCACCTTTTTCCGAGGCAGATTACACACAGATTTATGAGGCACTGTCAACCCCCCTCCTGCCACCGTCTCAGCGAAAGTTTGATCCGCTATTAGACAACTTGTCTCTATCGTTTAATGACACACAACGAATCGAGACGGCTGAGCGATCAAACAAAGGACTGCCATCAGTCACAGAAATTAAGGCTGTTGCAAACGCAGAAAACTCCCTGACAGTTGCTTTGGAAGTGACGGGTGTGAACAACGTGGAAGATTTTAATAGGATTTTGTGTTATAACGTATGTCCGTCTAATATCATATTACGGTTGAAAAAAACTGTTATTTATTCTAAACCGTGATTTATCATGTTAGATTATCAGTAAGCGATACGAGGAAGTCCCGGAAATCATACAATTGATGAATGTAAAGTCACTTGCGCCTAGTTACGGGAGAATTCGTCTGGGATTTGTCATTAAATTATTCTCTTCATGATTCATAAGGATGCCAAAATAGCACCTGATATCCAGACATACGATCATCTTCTCAGCTTGTATGCCATTGTTGGAGATGTAGAAAAGGCAAAACTAACTTTTGAACAAATTAATAGGGGTGCGTGTCGGATTCGCAAGCTTTCACTTATATGATGAATTTCTAATGACACTAACTATTAGTTTTTAGATGGAATGAGCCATTCAATGTATAGCTACGGAAACTTGATCAAAGCATATGTGAAAAACCTCCGAATAGATGAAGCCTTTGCAGTATACGAGAGTATAAAAAAAGCAGGATTGGTTCCGACTCAGGCAGGCATTCTTTCTTCCGTTGTGGTATTCTAGTGGTGGGCTATATGAACGTACCGTAAATCATACCTGTTTGGTTTACTTTGAATTTAGCCTATATTTACGACACTTATGAAAGGCTGCATCGACATCGGAGACGTTCCGCGCGCATGGCGCACGTTTGATATAATGCGATTGGAAGTTTGCCAACCTGATGAAGTTTCATACAGTTTGATGATACATGCATGTGCAAAGGTATGTTGCTCACGTTCATTCTGAACCGTCAACAAGTTCTTATTGTGTGGATAAATAGAGATGGCTTTCACTCTGCAGACACAAGATGCTGAGAAAGCTTTCGATGTATTTGAAGAAATGATCGGAAAGGGCTTATATCCAACAGAGGTTACGTTTAACTCACTAATAAATGCATGCGCCCACCGAAAAGATATCCTTGCTTGTTCTTTGATTGTCAGTTGTTATTTAGACAATTGGTCCTTAATTAGTTGCCGTTGTACATTATTGCAAAGAAGCGTTCGCCGTGTTTGAACAGATGCGTGAGTACGGTTATCAACCAGACAGAATTTCTTATAATTCACTAATATATGCATGTGCAAAGACGGGTGATGTCCGCCTGGCCAGGATGCTATTGAAACAGCTGTTAGAAGAGTAAGTGTTTTAATAGAATCAGTGAATTACGGTTTTCAGTGTTACTTATCTAATAATTATGCTAGGAATTCGACAATTAAACCTGATGAACAAACGTTCACCAACATGTTCTGGACTTATTCAGCATAAGTTGAACCGCAGGATAAATCGCACAAAGACAGTGCGAATGCACCAAATACGCTTAAAGAATTGTCCGATGGCACTGTGTCTTTGCCAGAAAAGACGGCTTTATCTGAAACCTCTACCGCAAGCGAGTCCACAGCCTTAGCACCGGATAAGGGCGACGACAATTCTTTAGTACATCTGGATTCGTATCCCTTTCTTTCTTATGAGCCAGTCACTGATAAGCAAATACTCGCTGAAGCAAGGATGATGTTCGAGTATGTGAAATCCATGTCTGACAACAATTCAAATGGCTTGGAAAAATCAGATAATGAGCAGATCCAATTATCGGCTTATTTAATGGATGCATATATGAACGTTTTCCACAAAAAGGGTAAATTTAATGATGTTCTTTCATTATATAAAGAAAAATTGCCCGAATTAGGCATTCCACAATCCGGTTGGATATATTCCACCATGCTCAAAACATGCTATAAACATCGAAGATATGAAGAAGCATTGAGAGTCTGGGAGGATTGGAAAAGTTGGTGGGGTAAAAATGACAATAGCGATCAGATGACGAAAATCGGACGAACTACTGCTGTGCAGTATGAAGTCTATCAGTGGATGATCAACACCCTTGCTAGGTATCCATACTTACTTTGGCTTTTTTTTTTCATTCCTATTACAAAAATTTACCTTGAAATGTTTTCCCATTTAAAGATGCAATGATCTCTCCAATGCAATTTATCTACTTCAAGAACTTGCATCCATGCAGACACCCAAGCTGGCAGATTTTCGTGTTACATATCAAGTGGCTGTTCAGACTGAAAATGAGGAAGCTAGAAGGACTATATTAGATCTGTGCCCAACTAGAAAGAAGAAAGTTGATGTAGCTCGAGACATTTTAGCAGTAAAATGGAAGGGCACTACTAAGGGTAGATGGGACGTTCACGAAAAGAAGAGAGATTATTTTATGAAGAGGAATTGAGTTGGTCATATTTGTTTATTCGCCAATCCTTTTCTACTGAAAATTTCTAAATGTTCCGTTAATTCCTATTGTATACTTTTATCCTTTACCGAGCTCGTAGATTGGGCTGACAGAAATCTAGTAGAGACACATTAAAGAGACTAAAAAAGGATACATAAAAAGGATCTCGGTATCTGCTTAGCAATTAGTTTGAATTCTTCTTCGCCTGTTTTGGATTTCCCTATACCCTATAAATTATGTCTTGGGATATGCTACTTCCTTCAAAATGTTTAATACCCCAACATTTCTAACCATCTCCAAGTCTTCCTCCCTCTTTACTAAAATCATTCCAGCAAATCCTAACGAATTTATAGAGATGTGATGATAGTTCTCATTACGCCTTGGAACCATCAGCGCCCATTTTTTCGTCATAAGGAAGTTGTAAGAGAGGCCCTTGAATGAAATCGATCCGTCGGCAAGCTCTCGCAGTAGACTAATTGTTTCATCAAGAAGCCTATGAAATACTTCAGCTAAATACTCGCCAACCAGATCATAGCAAGGCTCACTGCTGTCCGGATTGGATGGCGGAACCATTTTTTCTTGATCAAGAAACATCCCGCAGTGAACGAACGGCCATTGAGACAAGTCGAAAATGCTGCCTATTGCGTAAAAAGAAAACGGGTAAGAGTAGGGAAACAGATTAGACGCATCTCCTATGTAAGTTAATACCTGGATGTTTTTCTATTATCGCGTCTATACAAGTCTCAATGGGTGGCGAGTTTATCCCTAAAGGTATTACTTGAACGTGTTTATGAAGCTGGCTGTTCAAAACATATAATTCAAAAGCAAATCAATTTTTACATTACTTCGATCTGACTCACATCCAGTTCTCACAAGTGCTTACCTGGCGCCAGACATTTCACCACAGTTGTAAAAGGCGAGCGACGGGGTACTTAAGTGGGACATACAATACCATATAGCAGCCAAGTCTTTTGGATAAAGGGGTTCTGTCTGTAGCCTAAACTCTACAAATTAATAATGATAATTAGTATCCCAAGCTTTTCGAGCTCATTTTAATAAAAATGACGACACACGCACCTTTTGTAATTATTAATAAATGATGAGGAACTACGCAGTATTTGTTCAGCAGCACTACATAATCTCCATACTCTTGTACAAACAAATCAGGTTCCCAAGGCGCGAATGGATCTATCCTTGGTTCATCCTCTTCTGGTAGCAAAGCAGCTTTTGGTTTCTTAAACAAGCTAGGTGCGTAACGAACTTCATACTAGTGTGTTTAAAACATATGACCCAAATAAATTGATTAGCTAATACTTTGTTATGACGATAAGGAAGCATTCACGTACATTCACACTATCGGTTGGCAAAATTAACAGAGTGTTTTCTATGAAGAAAAGCGCACCAAGCCGTAGTGCACGGTCGTAATTCTCAGCAATACGTTTCTCAAATTCTGTCAACATGTTGCGAGTCAGTTATTCATATAGTATGTTTGATCCATTATATAGAATTTATTTCCAAGGCTGATCGCTTCTAATTGGTTAGAAGAAAAAAAAAAGCCAAAGAATAAATTTGGTGTTTCGTTAAAGTCAGATGCAAAAATACTTGCGAGTCGTGGTGGGTTTGTATAATCAGTTTTACATCCAACTGATTTAGTAACCGTTTCCATTAAAGTTATATATTCAGTGTAGTGTCGTATGTGCAAATGGGAAAATTAATCCCGCGGATATTGCATCAAAATTAGACAGATTCATCTTACTATGGCTTGTGAACAAATATCAATGGAATTAGCACAGTAAACGCGTTCTTCTCGCGTCTATAAATTGTATATACTGATGATATTTGCACATATACTTGGACGCTAAAATGGCACTTACCCTAATAAGAATTAAATACTTAATTTTACAGACAGTCAATTTTCATTGGAAAAACTTTAAGCTGAATTTGTCTATTATTATTACTATTACTATATTAACTTATCTTGAATCATGTGATTTTGGGAAATAACAATGCTAATACTAATAAAGAGACAAAAAAAAATTTTTTTCTTCCGAAAGTCTCCCCCGAGGTCTATAAGAGTTTTCGCCTCGGCAGGTATAAACCGAGTACATTCAGTTAATTAATTCCGTTGAAAAGGGAAAACTGTTTGAAGAAGAAACAAAACACCATTTACTCAAGAAAATTGTGAACACTTTGCGACGACTTCAAACTTGAATGGCTTTTCGTTGAAGTCGACGATTTCTCAAGAAATTCTTCGGATGGTCTTCAGAACTGCTCACGAGGCTGCTGAACGAAATATCAGAAAGAGCAGCGAGGAAATAACACCATTCCACCATCATACGACAATAGACCCGTTGGAGGAACGCTGGAGCCTATCCGAGATGACGTCGTTCCCCCCTTATGACTTCGATTCCTACGAGATTGGAGAGGATGGTTTTTGTTGTATTAATGGTGGTTGTGGCCAGATGGCTTTTATAAAATCCTTTATTCAAATGGGCCTTATTAACGAGATTGCTGTTAAAGAAGGGTAACTCTGCATGTGGTAAATATAAACAATTATAATAATCCAGAGATTACCCGAAACCAGTCCTTTCAATGAAAGAACTTCTCAGGACTTAGAATTCGCACCAATTAATACAATGGAGCGATCAAAGGGATAACTCTGCATGTGGTAAATATAAACAATTATAATAATTCAGAGATTACCCGAGACCAGTCCATTCAAGAGATCCAATGAACGAAATTCTCAGGACTTAAAATTCGCACCAATCAATACAATGGAGCGAAAACGGCTCTTCCCCCGCGAATGAAGTGCGGCGGCGGCTCTCACCCTGCATGTGGTAAATATAAACAATTATAATAATTCAGAGATTACCCTAAGAAAGCAGGAGTCGAACAGTCTCATAACCGATCAGCCGTTATCTTGCGGGAGAGAAATGCCTTTGAAAATATTCAGACGATTATGAAATCAAAACTTTATGAAGAAACAGGTGACTGAAGGATCTCTAGCATGTCATTGAAGAATGTGGAGGGTGAAGCAAGAGATGTATTGTAGGATGGGAGAAATATTAATAGATTATAAGAAAGGGAGAAAAGAGATTTAGAAAAATTATACGATTATTCATTAATTTTCGTGACGAATTTTCTGTCACGGTAAAGATACATAATTCCATCAGGCTTGATTGTTAAAATATTGGAGAAAATTTTATTCAACAAACATTAAATAAACGACTTTGAAATATTAATATACCTATTAACGACGCACATAAAAGTTGTAAGGTTTCAGAATATTTAATTTCTCTTCGTATAATAATTGTTGTTACCATTATATCATAGACCCTTTGGATACGCGTACATCGTATAGGAAGCTCACGTTAAAAATTAAATTCGGCCACTTGTAATTTTAGATTCAAAAGTAATCGCTGAAATAAGGGTGCTAAATTAGAACATCACCCTGCTGGCGAACACGCCTACACGAAAGATTATCGCCTTTCTCATTAGCCAAATTGCTGACCGCAACAACAATAATATATATGAAGAAAGTGCCCAATAATAATAAACCCAACAACGAAAGTAGTGAAACACACTTGACGATGATAATGTAGATGAGACGACGGATAACGCAGTGATGATGAATAAGCTTCTAGAACGTGTGGAAAATTTTCCTTTTACAACTGTTGAATTTATTTAGTTTGTGGATAAAATTATGTAACGTGTCCGTATTGAAGTTTTGAGCCAATATTAGCATTAGGGATATTAATACAAAGTAATCGATTGAGACTCATTCGTGCAATGATGGTCTTTTTCTGATTAAACAGCTTTCTAATTATTCAGGAATACCATTACAAAATGGTATCAGTATTAAAATTGTATAATCTTTGATATATTTAATCTAAAAAAATGAACAACGTTATCAATAATCTTGCTGGTATAAACAGTTTAAATTAATATCAAAATAAAAACTTACCATGTTAACCATTTTGTTCAGTTAATATCTTGGAGATATTGTTGTATGTCAATTTGAGATTGCAATTGGATAATTTATGAAGAAACGTATTTATTATTACAAAGATTATAATAATACATGCATATAGGTTAACGATAATGTTCATATAATTAATTTCATGCTTCTCATATATCAAACGCTACTTTGTTCGGCAAAAACAGTGAGCTTATTGGCCAATACGTACTATGCTAGTCACTATTCATTTTGATGCTATTGATTGTAATTTTGAAAAAAAAGAAGAAGTAATAATTATAATAGATTTAGTCCTATTTATCGTTTTAACGCTGCAGTTTACTAAGCTAGCGGTATTGATGTCACATATGTTTTTCATATGTGCTACACGAAATCATCGTTTGATATTCTACAATCGCTTGAAGTAAGTTACATTTTCTATATTGAACAATTTGTTATAATTCGGATAGAATAAACATTTGCAATAACTGCTGTTACGGTCGGCTCCAAATTTGGGTTGGAGAGCAATAAAATTGCGTAGGTGTGTCTGCAGGGAGGGAATTAGTTCGTGTCGCTGCCCTTACCACAACGATTGCCTGAACTAAACTGTCAAGATCGATCGTTTATTATATCGAATACTTCAGTATCGAATATTAGTTTTATAACATTAATATCGCATACAACATGAGGATTTTAGACGGTTGGGAAGGGCTGCTTATATACATTTTGCTGTCACCAAAATCGCGTTACTTTTTCTACGCCACAGAACGCGTTGCTTTTAAACTTTTACACTGTCACCATTTCCCCGTTACTTTCTATTTTTAGCTAATTTTGTATTCAAAATTGTCACCAATTTTCCGTTACCCTTGAATCCTGAGTAGGGTTACTTCCTTGGGGCTCCATGTCACATGCATTTCACAAAAACAATTTTTAATTTAGAAATTCTGCATATAGATGAAAGCAACAGAGTTGCAACTTTATTAATGTATATTTTTCGGTCATTACAAATAAAACCCAGAATTCGGTAAATTACAACTTTATTGATATGTAGTTTATTTAGTTGAAAAGCAGGTACATGGAGCAAAATAGAAAGCCCCGTCAGGATGTCATGTGACATGTGGTATAATATATCAAGATGCGCGTTGTTTCTTTTTCGAAATATTGATAACGATATAATCAAAATTTGGCCAAGGCAATTTGATATAGTATTTTTGTTAAAGATTTGCTGTATCTAGAAAATATCATAAATTTTATAGCCCTCTCCGTTCTCTTCCAAAGTGTCTCGGTAACTTTTTCAATCAGCTGTTCCTTAATATCGTCATTAACTCGGATCTGGGTTAGATTTTTTGTGGAATTCATAACACTCTGATATCCATAATCCAAAAGCGAAATAAGATTGCAATACTGCGTAGCTCGTTTTATCATTTTTAGATTTGAGATTGGTGTTTTGATACAAAGGAATAAACATCTGTTGGTACACTTTCTTGGTGAAGCCGGAAATAATTTTATGTCCTTTTGTGAAGATAATTGTGGCGAAATCTCTATTGGATTTTGTATTTCTGTTAAGAGCTGGAGAGAGGGAGGTTTGTACTTCGCTTCAAAAGGAGTGAGTTTCATAATCAATGAAAATGTGATATCTGACAAATTAGGTTGCAGATTTTGAATCACGTGCAGTCATAAATTTACTCTCTTTGATAGATCTGCAAGCATCTGCGGCAAAGTCACGTTTTCGCAGCGCACTTGCAACCATTATACTTGAATGTGTATACAAGACATCTTATTACATATGCGTAACGATGGATATCAATATTGAAAATTAATATAGTTGTCAATTCTGTTATAAAGTGATAATAAAAGAAGAATGTAGCTGAAACATCGACAACTTCTTTAGCACAAGATATTATTCATGACGATTCAACAGGAAAAGATTAGTAGTGAGATAAGAGAGAAAAAATTTCAAGAATCACATAACTCGATCCACCGATACAATCCGAAGTATCAACCATGTCGACACCTGAATCTCTGGACTCAAAAACTGTGAAAAAGTTTTGGGGTCAAAATAAAAGCCTGGACAAAACATCCCAAAAAAGGAAACAGAGAATATCGCTCAGGTGATGTTCAGGACAATAGTCCCCAGATTTAAATCATGTGACTGAAATTTCAGCGACGAGGTCGTCAAAATTCTTCCACAATCTCATTACTCGACTTGACACAATTATTTGATAAGCAACAAATGCTGAATATTATGCTCAAAAGCTAACCGGAAAGAAACTTTATGCTGGATTAACTATGGAAAAGAATTCATAATTCAGTATAATGATTTTATAAAAATAGTAGTGGCAAAATTGGCGAGAAAAAAGTTAAAGTTATAAAATATAGGAGCACCTTAATATCATCCATAAAAGAAAGTCGAAGGAAATGGGATTATCGTCCCAGAAATTTTCGCGTAAACTTTATGCAAAAAGACCCAAAAGGCCGTAACAACTTATAAATTATTCGAAAAAATAAGCATTAATAAAATTAAGTATCTTAAAGCATATAGCGCAAATTCTATTTCAGAGTTGACCAACGATCAAATTAAAAAGACTATCGATAATATTTCTGATCGCGATGAGTTTAATATAAAAGAAAAAAATCAAATTACATGACTGAAATTCCAGAGAAATTAACCGAGTGCTGAAACCCAGCGGTCATCTCTTTTTGTGAACTGACAAGTTTCATTTGTGCGAGGGAATAGCCGCTTGACTAAAAAAAACTGACTTAGTCACTCCCGTTGCCAAAATCATGCAACCAAAATTTGACCTGAACCTAAGAAAACATTAGTGTCCCAACCAACGCTCTCTAATCAATTATCTCGTATCTCTAATTCGGAAGATAAAACAAGCGAAGTCTCGCCTGAAATTCTTATCAGAAATAAATCGGATATTGATGTTCTTATTCTTCTTTTGCAACAGAAGTTCGAAATGCCAAAGATAAATGAAGAGATGATATCGCCTTTGAATTTCGAGATAATACCAAATACTGTTATAATAAAGCCATCATTCTTTTTTCGATGGCCATCCCACTCGCAGGGTTACTTGAAAGTTCTCTTTTATTCATAATAAGTAAACATTCGTCGTGAATAAAGTTTTTTGCACTAATAGACACCTTGCACGGGTTGAAACTAAGAAAATTGTTGCTTACATAATTATTATACAATATTTGCCTATATCGATATATTATTTAAATAGATAGTTGATTATTGTTTCGATTTAATCTTTATTACTATTACTATCGTTTCCAATTTTTCATGTAATGGAGATTAACTTGTGCACAAAGCTCATTAATTAATATCGACACATCGTTCTTTTCTCAACAATAGTAATATTGTGCTACTAAAGCAATGCTAAAATTAAGCGCGTAATCTTGACCTTGATCACGTTGTTTTCAATTTATTCGAAACCAAATATTTTATTGTACAAAAGTTCGAAACCGAACCATATTCGCGACCCTTAATGCTAAGCATATTAAGAGTATAACCGAATTTTTGTACCGTGTACTGCGTATCGTTATACGTTACATGAATTTAAAGATAAACTTTGTAGTTTAAGGGGCTCTTTCATCAGGTCGACAACAACTGCTCCTTACACCAGAGGGCAACTCTACTGTTACTCTCTCAAGGAGCAAGTATTTGTATTTACATTTATTATTTGAATAAGTATCGTGGTACTTATCTGTAGGTTATTATTAATTACATTTTTAAATTTTATGTCATAGTTTCATATACAACATCATCGAGTGCTCAAAAGAAAATCGACGCTGACAAGAGAACAAGCATTTCCACATTTCAGCCGGGTAACTTAGAGCACGAATAATTGTTTTTCTTAGTTGAGGTTATAATAAGAAAGTCTACCGCCTTTTCTTCTGATTTTATCTTGAATATAGAAATCATCTTTTTCTTTCTCCATCCGGATAAGCCTATTGCGCTCCTGCTCAACTATTTCCTTCAGTTCATCTTCTTCGATATTCTTTGTTTTCATAAACTTCCGCATGTTCTTTGCTAACCTCAATTGCGCCTTTTCTCTACTTATTCTTCGCTTTTTATCGATTCGCTTTGATCTAATGTTGCCTTGACCTTGTTCTATTGACTCTGAAGATACTTTGAGTATCTTATTGAGATCTTGACGAGCGAGTGTTTTAACGAGCATGTCGTATCGGATATCATTAGGAGCGTCTACGTATTCGATGATTGCCATTGAAGCGTGATCTGTATCCCGATAACCTAGTTTGTGAATACGTGTGTATCCGCCCGGGCGATTCTGATAGCGTTCGGCCATTTCGCCGAATAATTTGGGCATAGTAACAACATGTTCCTTTTAATCAACGGGATGAATAGTGCGTATTCGTTATTACTTCAACGATCCGACATAAAATAAATGATGGTAACGAATATATTCCTTACTCGCAAAAAAGCTCTGGCTTGAGCTTTAGCATGAGCGTCACCCCGTTTAGCGAGCGTCACCATCTGACAACGCACAAACCATTGTAAAGCTAAACTTTAGTATCTCGTTTGAAAAATTAAACATTCCTCCAGTGATCACAACGGCTTACCTTATCAGCAAACTTGCGAACCTCTTTCGCTTTAGGAAGTGTAGTTTTTATTCTATCGTGTCTAATGAGCGAAGAGACCATATTACGAAGAAGAGATTGCCGATGGCCAGACGAACGATTGAGACGACGATATTTTTTGGCATGACGCATATTAGTAATTTGTTACTCTTCTGCAATAATAATAATAATTCAGACAACACTTTTTATTTTATGGTCGTACAGCATATGTTCCAACCGATGTCAAGTCACATGACAATTATCAAACTGTTATAAGTATGTTTATTCAACAATACCATCAAGCATATGATCGACGTTTAGCAATATCACAGATACTGATCACTTTGTATAGTCGACCAAGTAAATACAGTATGTAGCATTAGACAGAAATATAATGTCAAAATATTATTTTTGTTAAAGACTCGTAAAAAAATCGGTATATATTTGCGAAAAATCATATATCTGATTCAATCTCTGTCATGGGAAACGGGGTAGAGCTAAATTGACGGATTTGACAAGTAAGTTATCGGTCTAAATTATTGACTACAACTTCTCATGTGAATATTTATTATTTATAATAATAATTCAGCGGAATTTTTCTTTCGATAACGATAGTATCGATAATCGATAATAATAATAACAACAGATCTTTGTTAAAGTTTAGTCGGCAATACAAAATGTTGCCTGCCTAATTTCTGATAAACATGTATTGATGACGACAGGATAAGATGCTAACGTTATACATATATGCTCATTCTGAAAAGTGTGAAAAAGCCAAGAAATTATGATGAAAGTAATACAGTCCCCGGCGAAAGTAATGGCGGTCAATTTTCCTCAGCTTATACAAATACTGTATAATAAATTGCAAAAAAAATTTTCTTAGTAGACTGAGGCCACGGCTTATTAACAACTTAATATTTAGTATAACCACCCTCCAGTTTGCTTCTCACTAAGTTGCAAGTTGAATATTATAACATATATGTTGAGTCAGTAACGGTAATAATACACGCTATTCCTGACGGACGCTTACTGTACATTGACCGTTTCACGAAAAAATGTCAACGCCGTGAAGTCTCCAATGCCAAACCCAAATGTATCAAGGTTCCTTAGCCATACACCTTTCAAAAGCACCAAAATAAGACTTTTCTCAAATGATGTCATTATAACAAAAGCTATGCATCGTTGATCCTCAATTATTCTATTCGGAGTATAATGGATTACTCCGTATAGAGTAACCATGAATCACGTGTATTATGTCTGATAGGCCATTTTCAGATACAAATGGGTGTTCGGAACATCTCTGCGAACACGCCCGTTGAGATATGTTTTTTAGAACGGCAATACATTCTTCAGTCACACGCTTGCTTTTAAGAAAGACATACGAGTCTTTCAGAAGCACAAAAACGTTTAAAATGTCGCGCACTTTCTCAACAGAGAACAAAAATTTACCAAAGGTCTATTGAATGAAACATTGTTACCATTCGAATTCAAACTTGTAACTAATGCCTGACTGTCCGTATCTGCAGTTGAATGATCCCAAATTACTCCGTCAGATGGCTTACGTAGACGGTAAATGGATTTCAGCTGAATCAGGAGCCAAGTTTTCAGTCATAGGTATTTGTCATTTTCGTGACGGAGTGTGAATCGAATGTGAAAGGAATGCCATTGTTAGTTGAACATTATTATTCTAGATCCCGCTACGGAACAGGAAATTGGCAAGGTGCCAGAGATGAACGCGGAAGACGTAAAAACGGCAGCTGACCTTGCAAACGAAGCATTCAAGGACTGGTCTAAGCAGACTGCAAAGGTTACTTATTTTTGAATATCGATAACAAGCTCCCCTCTTCCAAACTTTATATTAATTTATCCTCAATTTCGTCTTAAAGCGACGTCACGATCTACTGAAAAAATGGCATGCTCTGATCCTCGAGAATCAAAATGATCTCGCCACGATTTTAACTCTAGAAAATGGTAAACCTCTGCAAGAAGCCCTCGGTGAAATCAAATACGGAGCGAGCTTTATTGAATGGTTTGCCGAGGAAGCTATTCGCGTGTATGGTGATGTCATTCCGTCTCCTGTTAGCAGTCAACGCTTCATAGTCGTTAAACAACCCATCGGAGTTGTCGGATTGATTACGCCTTGGAATTTTCCGAATGCTATGATTACGAGAAAAGCAGGCGCTGCACTTGCTGCCGGATGTACGGTGGTTGTAAAACCGGGCGCAGAAACACCGTTCTCTGCCTTGGTTCTTGCAGAGCTGGCGGATAGGGCGGGAATACCGAAAGGCGTTTTTAACGTAGTTACGGCACACGAGAATGTGCAACAAGTCGGAGAGGAGATGTGCACTAATCCGACAATTAAGAAGATATCATTTACTGGCTCGGTATGACTGATACGGTTGATCGCTGTTGACGCAGGCAGAAAGGATTTTTACTTATTTCTGTTTTCAACTTTTAGACCGCCGTGGGTAAATTATTGATGAAACAAAGCGCTTCTACTCTGAAAAAAGTTACGCTGGAACTGGGAGGCAACGCTCCGTTCATTGTTTTTGATGACGCTGACATTGATGCTGCTGTTGATGGTTAGTACTTGTTAGTTCAAGTCATGATCCTCTGTTTGTATATATTACTGATCCCCTGGCATTCGCGTATAGGAGCAATTCAGTCGAAGTTCCGAGCTTCGGGACAGACTTGTATTTGTGCCAACCGCATATACGTTCAATCAAGCATACTCGCCGAGTTCGCGTGTCGTCTCGCTGAGAAAGTTGGTTCATTCAAATTGGGAAATGGTCTTGAAAGTGATAGCACTCATGGACCCTTAATAAACAAGGAAGCCATCGAAAAGGTAAAACTCCATGTTGAAGACGCCGTTGCTAAGGGTGCTGAAATCATTATCGGTGGAACGCAACGCTCGGGGAATTTCTTCCATCCGACAGTTTTAACCGGCATGACACAAGATATGTTGATTTCATCCGAAGAGACGTTTGGTCCCGTGGCTGCTTTGTATAAGTTTGAAACTGAAGAAGAAGTGATCGGTCTTGCGAATGCCACATCATCTGGGCTTGCGGGATATTTCTATAGTGGGGATGTCAGAAGGTGCTGGCGTCTTGCGGAAGCTTTAGAAGTCGGGATGGTTGGAGTTAATACCGGCGCCATTAGCACTTGTGAGGCACCTTTCGGTGGTGTAAGTAAATTTGCATTTGATACAGTATTTCGCAACGACTTTTTTTAATATGTATTTTTTACATTTCAGATCAAAGAATCTGGCATAGGTCGCGAAGGTAACCTTCATAAAATATATTATCTGACGATCTTTATTCGCACTGACTTAATTCTTTCTTTACTGTCCAAAATTAAGGTTCAAAATATGGTATTGAAGAGTATTTGAACATCAAATACATCAATTTCGGAGGATTATAAAATCCTCCTGAAATACAGATTTCTTGCTATTGAACCGAAGACTAGACGCTTTCAATGGGCGAAAGGGATTCACATATCTCTTAATATTCGTACGTACACCTAGTCAATCGTAGTGTCTACATCCGTGTCATCATCGTCCCAATCAGTTTCCTCGTCCTCTTCAGACAACCAACACCAAATGGTGCCGTCGTCACAAGCCGCGATTAACCATTCACCGTCGGGTGAAAAAGTAACCTGTCGGACAGTGGCTGTGCATTTTGGACCTTCCAATAATCGCAATACACACTTTCGCCTCTTTCCCGCTTGCTTATTTGTAAGTTGTTTAGTTCTGTTGCCTGTGCTTTGAGAGATGGATTTAGCGCTAGTATTTTTTTTCCGCATTACACTTGCGGGTTTTTGTGTTAGATACAGATTCTGTTTCTTCTTCGCTTTGCTTTCTTTTTTGTTCACAGAACAGGCCTTCTTTGCCGATATATACTTGTCTATAAAATGCGGAATGTAATCCAAGTCCCATAAAAACATTTTACCATATTGACTGCCAGTCGCGAGGAATCTGTTATCGCGTGAGAGCCCAAAGCGGACGAACCATATGTCGCATTCTTCGAAACTGAATTCGCAGATGATGTTAAAGTCTGATGTTTGCTATAAAATTGAATCAAGTTTATTTAATATTAATGGGATTATGTATCGACTTTAAAAAGCAAAACCCACAAAAGTTTAAGGAAGAATATGCCAGACCGCCATAAATCTTACCGCATTAGGAAGTGCCCTTCCCCCAACCAAGGAGTATTTCGACTGGAGAGAATCATCAGCATCCTCGTTCTCGTAGTCTTCTTCTGTTGGTAATCCAACCTCTGGCTTCCATAGTATTATATTCGGTTCAGTAGATCTCGAAAACAATAAATCGCCATACCATCTAATATTGTCAACATAATTATTATGAAGTTCCGTGCTGGAGAAAATGGGATAATGAACATATACTGGCTCGCGACATGTATGACTCTGGGTATTCGTGACTGGAACTGTACATTGACAATGGTGTTCTTGTGCTGCGTATGATGTCGAAGATGATGACGTCGCTGCTGATTTTGAACTAGTTCTTTTAGAGTTTTGCGTTTCGGGTAGAGGTGCAGCGGTATCAATAATACGCTTTAATATCGGGCTGCAGAGAGTCCATATCTTCACCGCGTGATCCATTCCACATGAAGCTAAGTAATTGCCGCTCAGATGCAAGTCCTATCATATTATATCACAAACGGTTAATTCACTACGTCAATAGCTTTACCAGATCAGACTTGATAATTTTCATGGAAATTCCTACAATGCCTAGTACACTCTCGCGGTGCCCTCCGTCTCCGCCAAAGACAACCAACAAGTCGCCAGTATTTGCATTCCACAGCCGAATCGAAAAGTCTTTACTAGTAGAGAACAGTAATTCCGGTCGAAGATGGTGGAATCTCATTTCATTAACTTCCTAAATAAGCAGATACGAATTAGCCAGCCGACTAACTCTAGTAAGAATTAATAAAATGGCGACTCACATCACCGTGACCGGCGAGTACCTGGGAAAAGATAATTTTCCCTTTAATTTAGTCAACATTCAGCGTCGTAGATTATAAGGATAAAACCGAGAAACTTAGTACAAATGAAATTACTAACTCTAACGACTTCCTTTTGACTAGTGTCAATAATCTTGATTAATCCACTCGCCCCAGCAACGGCAACCCACGGTGCCCCCGTTAATGGATCGTACGACCAAGCAACGCAGTAGAAATTTTCAGAAACCTTATCACCGCAGGCTTGTTAGTCTTCAAATTTTGTTACGAAAAGGTAAGCTCATAGAAAAAGCTTTGGTAGAATACATTCTCATCCGTATATGTCTGTAGCACTCTGATGCGACCCCTCTTCGGTTTATCCCCGGCCAGAGCTAAGTCAGTTTCCTCGACCTCTTCAAATGTAGCTATAATCACCTAACAAGAGAGTTATAAAACATATGTAGACAATTGGTAAAGGGATACTGTATGCAAATTCTCATTATCTACGAGTGATCCTCACCGTTCGCCCGCCAGCGACAGCAAATACATTTATTACGTTCTTTTGCTTGAATGGATTAAAACAAACGCCGTAAAATGGCATTTTAAATGTAGATTCCTTTTCTTTCACGTAGTCATTGAAACCAGAAAGGTAGAAACGTCACAATTTGAGTATGTCGATAAAAGTAGTGGCATAAATGGTCCTATTTAGGTAGCTTAATTACCGTCATGACATGTTTTAGGCGAAAATCTGAAGAGTTTCTCATTTTTTTGGGTCTATCAGAGAATTTAGCAGCCATGGACGCGCTTACATATATTGATGCAGACAAAACCACCACGAACAAAATTCTGGTTGTTCAAAATAAGATAATCGACTGATTGGTTGTATGTTAGATCAGCTGACGCTGTACTATGTACATCCAAACCTAAATACAGTTCGCGTAAAAAAGTAAAATTTGCTTTCTCTTGGAAAGACACTCACGCCTCGCGAGAGTTTGAAATTGTGCATTTAGAGAACAATATAAATTGGAACATTTATGGTGTGGTAACAGACGTTTATGCGATACGCACTCTTTCGTCACATACGTTTATAATATTTATCTACGAGTATGCATTGCCCCAGCAAACCTTGTACTTACTTGTTGGATTAAGAACGCTTGTACAGTTTCCAGACTTTTCAACGCAAATACCTTGCACTGCTCTGAGGTAATAATTATAGGCTATTTAAGATAAGTAGCTGACTTTTTTAATTTGGGGTAGTATTTACTTCATTGCGTAATTTTCCCATTATACCTATGCTAATTTAACTATTTTAGTGTAATATTCCAGTTGGCTAGACTCACCTTTAATGCAGGTTAAATAAAATCTTTCATAGCGACAAGACGCCCTGCTGATGCAATGCTACCAGCAAGTTTACAAAGAAAGAATGGGGAAAGAATGTTTACCTGATTTATTATCATAAACGAATTCAACGCCCTTTGTTTCGAATCTAAACAAGTATTTTGAAAGCAAACGGAATTGTATTCAGCATTTTCAGAAATTGATAAAGTCCATATACCGAGAAGATTACTGGATATATAATCTTTTTGACAGGTTTATTTTCATGACGCGTGCGTTACATTCGATCATAGGAAAAAATGTTAGACTGTTCTTTTTCGGGTGAGAGGTTATATGTCATAAAGATACTTGAATACAAAGACGTAAGACTCAATTCTGTAACGAGACGTTTATTTATCTGGAAGTGCCGAGATATTTGCCTGTTTAGAAGCTATCATGCTAACACTCACAGCGCAGTGGTGTGAATCGAATAAATACTTGAGACTACTTCTTTACAACTTTCGCTAAGCAAAGGTCATTGGCGACGTAGGGTAATCGATAATACAGTATTCTGCTACTTTCCGCGTTTGTGTTGCTGATTCTTTCGAATAACCTTGCTTTGTCTATTTTCAAATTAATTTCATATACGATTTATTGCAAAATTTTTTAAGTAACTTTTTTTTGTACTTCAGAACATGGAAAACTTTTTTTGCAGTGCGCAAACATCAAGAGGGACGCATCTTGGTATTCTGGAAAAAAACACTCGTTCGGACTAATCTTGATTTTGTTCAAACGTGAAAACGACTTCGGCCTCCGCAAGTCTTTCCTTCATAATGATTCTAACGTAAAATTCGTTTAGCTGCGCGTTTTCGTAATGTGCAGACATTTGCAACCACATCCAAGATTCAATTGGTAGACGACGAAGCACAAGGCATGAAATGAACGTTAAATTGCACTAACACTAAATTGGCGATGGTGACACATTACAAATCAATTGCACGTGAGAGCGCAACCAGCATGAAAAAAGTCTTCGATTTTTAACATTTGAAAAAAAGTTTCCATTTACAAGTCTTGCGTATTTTCGTCACTGGACTATGGTTCTAAAATGGGCTCAGAAGCATTATTATTCTTGTTTGCAGTCATAATGGCTGCTGTCCATCTCTTTGTAATGGTTTTCTTCGTATCCTTTAACTATATTGTATATATGCGTGATAACCGTACTCATACATCAGTTATGAATGTCTCAACGAGTCGTATTACTTGTCCATCATCGCCAATGTCAATGAAGCCTTAACTTTATTCCACTTCGAAAGACCATAATGTATGCTGATTTAGAATGCGACTATATCAATCCGATTGACCTTTGTAGTAAATTAAATCAAGCAAGTTTTTTCTCACATCGTATCGTGGATTTCCAGCAAGACAATTTACCATTACTCACATTCCATCTTTATGTACGTCGGCGTATTTCTAGTTTATTGTTCCGGAAATGCTCTCTCATGCATTTCTGTCGTTCTTGTTTGTAATCAATGGATATTGGTTCGTTGCATTGATTAACATACCGTTGGTGCTGTACAATGTCTACAAGTACGAAAAGAGGTTTATGCTATTATAATGCATTTATTGTATACTTCAGTCATCCCGATCGTTAATTAATTAACTGTAGAATTCACAACAACAAACACACGCTCGATCCGACCGAGATATTCCGAACATTGTGGATACACAAAAGAGAGAGTTTGATAAAAGTTGCATTTTATCTTATTACTTTCTTTTATTATTTATACAGGTAAGTTTATTCTTAATCTCAGATCACAATTTTCTACCGTTCAAGGGATAAAGTGCGGGGACCGTGAAATGTTACATAATACTGACGACGGAAGGAGCACTCGATTCTTCTGACTGTCAGCTCTACAGCGTAGCGTTTCATGGTGATAATATTTTGATGTTAACTCCAAATTCATTTTGTCGACAGAAATAGTTATGCTTGTTGCCTTACAACTTAAAGACAATGAACCTACTTACTACGTAACAGCGAACCATAGAATTGATAATGTTAAAGCGTAATCAATCAATCAATCTGCATCTTGCTAATTCCCTCTTTTACTTCCATAATAATGTACCGAACAGAATGATCGCGGCGTTAATAAACGACGACTGAATGTGTCTAGGAGTTGGGGGATTGGTGGACTAACCCCTTCAAATAAGTGGTAGTTGAATAAAGACATTTATGTGTACAGTCAGTCTATTCGGTACTCGATTGGAGTCATTTTAGATTAGATTGTCAGCTATAATACAGTGGGATTGTTCTTTGCGACGGTCATCCTTTGCAGAAACATTAATAAATGGCTTGGGTTACCAAAGAAGTTAAGTGAATCAAGGAATCCTCATCCATACGCCTGAAAAGTATGCGAAGCGTTAAATTATAAGTATTCACGTAAAAACTACGGCAACCTTACCATAGTTTAGGTGCCAGACTTATAGATGAATGCTTCTTCAAAGCAGCTGTCCAGAAACGACTAATACTTTTGACCACATAATACTGAGCCTTTGTTATCGTCATTAGAATTAACTGCCTGAATTTTATTTAATTATGTGGTCGCCGGAGAGTGTTTGGCTGGGTAACGATCTCAAGACTTGGCTTCAAATATCTGACTTGCTTACATATTGAAACGTAGCCAAGATGGTTTTCTACTTCTTTATTGTTAAGGTATAAATTTCATCAAATTTTATATTATTAACTCTTCAGTTAATGCATCAATACTTTAGTCTGGTATTAGACTTTTGTTCGCTGGCTCCTAAGCAATAGACATTCCTGCTCAGTAATAGCTACACGCAAATAGAAACCTGTTACCAATTCTTAAGTGAAGAGTAAAACGTGATTCATTTGGCGCGTCTTTTCAAAGAAATCAGAAATCGATGACGTTGTTATCGCTCGCAGCCGAAGCGAACCTTTTTTATTATTACGTAATCTTAATGATAAGAGTTATTATTAACACTTCAAGTCGGTAACACGAAATGCAAGTATGTGGCAATGACAACAATGATAGCAATGATAATGATAATAATAACAATTATAATGATATAGAGCGTTTAATTTTAGAAACCCCTCTTTTAGGCCTCCATTTGTTAAACCTTTTTTTGTGCTTGTTGTCAGTCCTAGGAAATGAAGTTTTTAACCAATTATGTTTGCATCGCACTAAATTTAGCCTGATTCTCATCTACATCTACTAATTTTAGATTGGTGGTTAATGCTTGGCATTCCATTATCACAATCCAATTTAGTACTATATTTAGAATCGCGCGAGATATTTCTTTGTGGCGTCAATTTTCACTTTACGCTATGTGCAATAATGTCTGAAGTAATGTTTAAGCGAATATTACTAGCGGTCTTACTAGTATTGGGAGTAAGCTTACCCTCGACCTACGCACAATGTTCTACGAACTTTGTCAACGGAACGGACTATTTCCCTTCAAAAGTCACTTTTGGTATGGTATAAACTTGACTGTAAACTCGGGCCCTTTGACTCTGAATAACAAACGTTTTTGCTTTTCAGACGGCGACTCTGACTTCCAAGTGACTTATTATAATTCATACAAGATTGTCAACAATACTCTTGCAAACGAGACATACGTATTGTATTGTACTGCTTATAGTCCAACAAATATCGGAGTTCCTTCTAATGCAAAGTATATACAAGTGCCTGTGGTTAAGAGCATTGCCGTTACCGATATTAGTGCTATTGGGTTTTTGAAGGTAAGCAAGCCAGAAAAATTAGACAACTGGATTTCATGAGATTTGATGGAAAAAAAAATTTTTTTCTTTATATAGGCAATAGGCATGGAGAAAAACGTAACTTATGCCACGAATCCAGAGAATGTTACAGCTCCGTGCTTACAACAGTCAATAAGTAACTTCACTGGGGCTAGCAACCAAATCGGTGTCGTTTTTACGAACACGCCCGCGGCGGATGGAAGTTACGTGACCCTTTCTTTAAGCGATGATATGTCTCCGTTGCAGGTATGATTGTCTTATCACCTTTCCGAATTCGTCGATCAAAGATCAGCGGATCGACTTTATATATAGCAAATCTCGATTCGCATATATATACGTTTAAAAGTTGATTTATCACTTGCTTAATTAAAGCATGCTAACTAACATATGACTTTATCCATTTAATGTCAATATAGAAAGCAGATCGTGTGAAACTTGTCTCCCTTTTCTTCGACAAGGAGGATGAGGCCAACACATATTATAACGCTACCCAAACCGCCTATTCTTGCCATGCTCAGAACGCCAAAATTTCTTTACAAGATAAGAACAAGAAATCTATTGCTTGGGTTGCGTATGATGGGAGTGCATATAACATAATTGCCGATAGCTATCACATGAATCTTACCCAAGATGCAGGTACGCTCTCATATTGTATAACTAAGTCTCCCCCATGTATTTCGAGCAGTTCCTTACTCTTCACTGCCTTGATGACACGATCTCTATTCTCTGCTCAGGTGCCCTTCCCTTGACTACCAAGGCGACTTCGTATACCAATCTTAACGACTTCCAGACGGCCGTTTTTAATGTTGATTTCCTAATTGACCTTACTTACTTTGATCCGAATCAGTTGACTTGGAGTAATTGGCTGAAACTGTTTGGATACGTCGAAAATGATGATGACAATACTCCCGATTTCATAAATAAGAAAAGAGTCTATCGTATCGGAGGCTTACAAAATCCAAGTGGACACGAGGATTGGTTTGAAAATGCTGAGGCAATGCCGGATATTGTGTTAAAGGATTTGATTTCGATACAGTATCCATTATACGTAAAAAGCTATAGGCCGACCTGGTTGCTGGATTTTGCTGCCGCTGAGCCACCGACGATCGTCAATGCAACTGATTGTGTCAGCGGACAGAGCCCTGACACTTGTACGATTGGTGCATTTAATGTAGAAGATGATGGTGGTGACGACGGTGACAATAACGGTGATGACGGAAACGACAGTAATGGGTCACATGGCCTTGCTATCGGGTTAGGTGTTGCTGGTGGATTGCTTGCACTAGCTTCGATTAGTGCTGGTGCATTTATTTTGAGAAAGAAGTATAAGGAGAAATTCTTTGAACTCAAAGAAGAACCGTCTGTGCAATTGACAGAAGTTAATGGAGAGATTAGGCTGACGCAGATTAAGCAGTGAAAACGAACTTTCGTTGTTTGTACATTGATGTACAATGTTACATGTTATTTTCTTTTTAAGTTCCTGTATATGATTCGTGAGTATCAATAAACAAAGTTGTAAACGTTATTGTAACCTATTACTCACTCGCCTATAAGTGGGTCTCACTGTTCAGACTCTTGGTCTTGTTTTTCTTTCTTACCACGTTCTTTCTCTCGAATCTGGTTAACAAGATCTTTCGCAATCTTCTGATGGCAACGTTTCGGTTCTTTGACCAGTAGTCGCAACATCTTACGTTTGTTTGAATCACCTTTACTGACAGATTTTTCACTTTGGTATCTATCATACCTTCTACATAATCGATATACGTGACTAATATCATTCTTTCCGTACTCAACAAATTTCCCATTTGGATCATAATATGTGAGAAACGTGCAAACATCAGGATCGATGGAAACGAAATTATCACCTTAATAATATCACGTCAACCATCATCTTTTCCAACGTACCGAAGTACTGATGGCCTAGTATCAGTTGCACGCGCACACACGAAAGCGTGGCAGTTGCTGTGTGGCAGGGGCGTAGTCTTTTAATCATTCTTGAATATTTGCCATAATACTAATTTTTACCAATTTCAATATGATATATCATACACGATTTTTGCGCATTTATTTATCGACATCATTGATGATTATAAACGCAGAGACTCTATTATCGAGATATGGCAATGGAAATGGAAATAAGGAATCCAAGCAAATAAAGTGATATTGCTCGAACACCTTCCGTCCACCTTTTCAATAGCGCTTCATGCTCACAGTAATATTCTGACGAGTTGCTTTGACTGACGATGGGGAAGTATCTAGTCAAGGCAAAATTTTGTATTCATTGAAACGCAAAATCACCCCTCTTGTAAAATTTCTGTCCTTCCATAGTGAACGTTTGCGATTTGTTCTTTTTGGATTTTTTCTTTAATTGAATTTAAATTTTTCATCTTTTTCCGTTTATCGAGGTTGATATCGTATGCCTTTGGAAATTCTCGAAGTGCCCGATCACGAACCGAGATTTGGTGTATCCTTAACCCATGTATTCTCATGTTGACAATTATTGTTATTAATAACTCGATTTCTCAAGTGTTTTCTGGGATTCTCCTGATTTACCAGTTCCAGGATTCGACTGCATGTCCATCGGTACGTTCCCATCCACCTCTTCAATGTTTCTCTTTCTTGATGGTTGGGATTTTACGCGTCTTCATTTCTCGTCCTCTTAGAAAATGCGGAATGGTCAATCGTTGAATTGTTTGATCGATCAGTTCTGTGTTAAACGCCAGTCAGCTGCCATTACTGTTTACTGAAAAGGACGTCAAATCAATTGTGGTCGATTGGGACTTTGGAGAGGACTTTGATATTGGTCAATATGGTTAGTGTCCAGAGCAAAGCGAAGGACTATTACTGTCTACGCTGTTTCCTAGTATCAATGGTTACATGGTATTATACCATTCATTGACAAAATATAGATTTTGCAGTAAACCGCCTTTTCTTCAAAAGTCTCCGACCACCCGTTAAATTACGAAGGAAATAAAATTTAATAACTGAGTATCGAATGCGTTCGTTCAATCAAAAAAATTCAACACTCATCTGCATAAAAGGTAATGTTGCCGTCTATATATTTTAACTCATACTGTCAATGAATCATCATTGTCGACAATGGTGAAGGAATTAATTATAATGTACCACGCGGTATATATCATTAAAGTTCTCTTCAAAGAAGCACGTTATTAAAAAACGGGCGTCATTTTTTGTTACACGATGCAAATCAACTTCTCATCGACGTGTTTCGATCTCGTGCGACAAACTGATATTTACCGCAGACAATAAATCGTTGACTTTTCATGCGCCTACAAATAAAGGACTGAGCAAACACGTTGTATCTTCTGTATGGTGATAATCGCGTCGATTGGGAAACTGTATAACTGTGGCGTTCGCCAAATTCAGCCCCTGAAATACTTTGTGCCATTGATAATCTGCCGCATTGGAAAATTTATTTCGACTTGTCAAAAATTAAAAAGTTACTTGTAATGTCATCCGGTAAAGAATCCCTCGTTCGCTCATTAGTGTAAATTGCGACAAACGCTTTTAATGATAATAGTAATTAATAGGCGCGGAGTTGCTCAACATTCTATTAATCGGTTCCGGTGGTCGCGAGCACGCGATTGCATGGAGGTTGGCAAAGTCTCCAAGAGTAGAGCATGTATATGTTGCACCTGGTAACAATAATTACTCAAATTTTAGTAGACTGTAAATAAACAAAATTTTCATGACGAACTTATGAAGATTTTAATCTACGCGTAGGTAATGGTGGAACCGCAAGGGGATTATCCAGAGTGTCAAATGTCCCAATCGATACGAATGACTTTACCAAGCTTACAAAGTTTGCTGTTGACAATCACGTAAATTCGATATTTATTCTTTTGTAAATTGATCCATTGTACATGCTGAAACAAACTTTTAAATTATTGTCTTTTGATACAAGATAAATCTCGTTGTCCCCGGACCAGAACAACCAATTGTTGACGGAATCGAAGCGGCGTTTAGAAGAGGTTAGCAACAAGGCCGTATTGCTTTTCTGAATGGCATTGTCTACTAAATGCATCCGAAATATATTGTCTTTTGTTTTCATCCTTTAAAATCATAATTTTCTTAATTTATGTAATTTAGTTGGAATTCCGTGCTTTGCCCCATCAGCAAAAGCGGCAGTAATGGAAGGATCGAAAACGTTTGCAAAAAACTTTATGAAGAAACATAACATACCGACGGCGACTTACGAGGTAAAAACACACAATGAAACCAGTTCTGTAATCAAGTCAATACATTTTTGCTCAAAAGGACTCCTTTATAATATTGAAAGTCTTTTTCAGACTACTCTCAAGCCAAAGAATACCTAGAATCCATTACTCATCGCGTAGTGATTAAAGCATCAGGCCTTGCTGCTGGTAAAGGAGTCCTGATACCGGCAAATAAAGAAGAGGCTTTGAACGCATTGAAGGAAATAATGATAGATCGGGTATTTGGGAATGCTGGTATGGTCCGCGACTTTCTGAGACAGTTGTATATTAGGCCAATAATAAACATCGTTTTCGTATTATTAGGTGATGAAGTGGTAATCGAAGAGTATCTTGAGGGACAAGAACTGAGTATCTTGTCAATTTGTGATGGGTACACTATTGTGTCACTTCCACCTGCTCAGGATCATAAACGCGCTTTTGATGGTGATCAGGTAAGACATTATGATAGTTATATTTTTAATCATTGTTGTTACAAAAATTACTCATCAGTATACGCTCAATTCATTCTATCCGATAGGGACCAAATACTGGAGGTATGGGTTGTTATTGCCCAACTCCTATTGTAACACCGGAACTTCTGACCGAGATTGATACCACCATATTGAAGCCAACTCTAACAGGGATGCGACATGATGGTACTTGCTCCCTTAACAATTTTCTTTTTCCTCATTGGCAATACCTTATTTACTACAATACCTCTCAATTCAGGATTCCCGTTTGTCGGAATACTCTTCACTGGCCTGATGATCACCAATTCAGGACCAAAAGTACTTGAATACAACGTTAGGTTCGGTGACCCTGAAACAGAAACTGTCCTTCCTCTGCTCAGTGATGAATCAGATCTAGCCGAAATTATGATGGTAAACCTCAAAACTAGTTGGAGATTTAGTAGGTAAAGTATATTATTAATTTTTAATGTCCATGTAGGCTTGTGTTGAAAGGAGATTAGACTCAGTTCAGATAGCTATAAAGCCAGGGTACGCTGTTACAGTCATTATCGCGTCCGGAGGATATCCCGGTCCATATTCAAAAGGAAAAGAGATTACTTTTAATAACCTCTCTTCTGGTATGTATATTGAGCTTACCACCATCTTTGAATACTTCATCGAATATGCATTTTTATGTACATTTTATATCCTAGATGCATTAATATTTCATGCGGGCACGAGTATAAACGAAGATAACATACTCTCAACTTCCGGTGGTCGCGTATTGGCCGTATCGGCTGTTGCTCCCACATTAGAAGAAGCAGTTGCCAAGGCGTATCAGAGCGTAGGATTAATTCACTTTGATTCGATGTATTATCGAAAGGATATAGCTCACCGGTGATTATCATTGCTGTCTATACTCTTTGTAAAATTACCTTTTTTTTGACAGTTAAATTTTACCCTTCTAGCTCTTTGTCAACACCTAAATCTCATAACACTTATGCATCAGCTGGTGTCTCCATTGATGCCGGTAATTTGCTCGTAGAGAAGATAAAACCGCTTGTAAAAACCACTCGTCGACCAGGAGCTGAAGCAGATATTGGTGGATTTGGGGGATTATTTGATCTTAAACCACTGCAATACAGTGACCCGCTGTTGGTCGCTGCCACTGACGGTGTTGGGACCAAGTTGAAGATTGCCCAGGCGACTAATAGACACGAGACGATAGGTAAAGATTCGACGTGGTAGATTTTCGTCTGTCCCACCCTTTTTTAATTGTCTAATGTGTTATATTAGGTGTCGATCTTGTTGCAATGAATGTGAACGACTTGATCGTGCAAGGCGCCGAGCCGTTGTTCTTTTTAGATTACTACGCATGTGGAAAACTACAGGTGAACGTCGCAACTGACGTTGTCAGCGGGATCGTTGATGGATGTAAAGAAGCCGGTTGCGCTTTAATTGGCGGTGAGACTGCCGAGATGCCGGGACTTTATAAAACGGGTAATATGACTAGCTTGAACGCTAATGCTCCACGTGCAATTTCAAAAAATGGTTTCCCTCATAACGACAGCTAATTTCTTTTCGCGTAACCGGTCGCAAATTCAGACGAATACGATTTAGCCGGATTTTGTGTTGGAGTAGTAGAACGCAATTTAATCCTCCCTCGTCTATCTTCGATAAAACCTGGTGATACTCTTCTTGGTCTTGCATCTTCCGGATTGCATTCAAATGGCTTCTCACTGGTTCGGAAAATAATCGATTCTAATAATCTCACATATGCCTCGCCTTGTCCGTGGGATACGTCAATTACTCTTGGTCAGGCATTGCTTGTACCAACCAGAATATACGTCAAGCAGGTTATGAATATTGTGAAGGGAGCTACAGTTAAAGGTTTATCTCACATCACCGGCGGTGGGTTTTATGATAACATCCCAAGGATTCTGCCCGATGACGTTGGCGTCGTGATTAATGCAAGACAGTGGGAAGTTCCCACAGTCTTTAAATGGCTTGCGCGTGTTGGTAATATTCAACCAGGTGAGTGTTTAAGTGAGAGTTATACTTAACAGATTTGCTTTTGCTCTTTTGTTATTTATATTATTTGACATCTTGTAATGCTTCCTGTATTTCTGCGTATTTTGGCATTCTGCGTGCAACCAGATGAATTGCTCAGAACATTTAACTGTGGAATTGGCATGGTTATTATAGTCCCAACGGATGCAGTTGACAACATCACTCATCAATTGCAAGGTCCTAACTGGGCTACAGTATTCAATATTGGGAGGGTTGTAAGCAAGCAGGACATTGAAGGAAATTCTGTTGTTATAGAGGAGAAGGAAGCTTTGTCTTGAAAGCTATGCAATCCTGATTACAAATAAAGCATGTACTTTAGAATAATACATAATACAATGTGAACGAAAGCGTGTCAGAGTATGCGGTGGCAATGCTACGTCTTTACCGATGCTTAATCCCCGCTTGATTTTTTTTAAAAAGTAATAAAATTTTCAGTTTTATTAATGATTTCTAACTAACTAATTGCTATGGCTTAGTCAATCCTTATCTCAAGGAATAAGTGGGTACAGTTCAAAGGCGTGTGAAGTACATGGACAGCCATTACGGTGGTTTTTATAACCGGCGAATGCATGTTCGCATCTTTTGTCTGCGGGCATGCCTAAATGAAAGTAGCAGGCCATTCAAGGCTGTATATTCTGCCTGTCTTTTGAAAGCGTTTCGAGACGAATCAACAATAAAAAGCCCATCCGATTTCAATTAGCGCGACTCCTAGTATTCCCATGCAGGCGACTAGGAAAGACAATAATGGTACGAGTTCCACATGGGGTGTCAAAAGTCAGTTCTCTCTTTGGAAATGATGGATCAATGCCGAGCTTGATATGAGAAGAAAGCCTCCAATAGTAGAAATTGTCACTTCGGAAGCAGAGGGACAGAGGTTTACTGCAAAGAATGGGGCCGTTAGCGGAGATGATTAAATCATGAGTCCACAGACATGCTTTCTTTTTTCAGGAAGAGGAGGAAGAACATAAATTGAAATGTGACATTTGTACGATTAAATAACGGATATCTTTTAAATTTCAGAAGACTGTTAAGAATAAACTAAATAATTAGAGGTATGTAAATTTTTCTAAATAATTTTATCCTCTAATTTTTGATAAATTATTAACTATGATATTAAAATTTATATGCCCCTTGAATCTCGCGTTTACGGAGAGATTAAAATATTCACTGGATTAGCTTCAATAGAGTTTTAGATACCGCCCAGTAATTGTCACTTTTCAAAGAGTGTTCGCTATCTGTACCACTCATCTGATTGCTAGAGTTCACAATTAAGCAACATGTTGTCAATTAACCGAGTTCCCGCAATGTAAATTGCACCAGATAATATAGCACCATCTTCTCCTACGCTCTCCAATTCTTCCAAAGTTCTCGGATGTGCCAATGAGAAATAATCCAACTTGACATCTTTCGTTTCTGACTCCGACTCAACAACTTCCTGCGCTTTTGCGATAATTCTCTTACTATCCCTGATGCCGTCATTTTCAAACGCTTGTTTTCCTTTGCTCAAGGCTCTATATAACACATTTGCAAACTGCCTATGTTCAGGGGTCAGGTATCGGTTTCGAGAACTCATTGCCAGTCCGTCATATTCACGAACAGTCTCTCCGACGTGAAATGAGATAGGATAGTGTAGATCACTAATTACAGACCGAAGGACAACACACTGTTGCGCATCCTTCTGACCGAAGAATGCGTGTGTCGGTTGAACTATATTAAAGAGCTTACAGACCACTGTGGCGACACCCCGGAAAAATCCTGGCCGTGTTTGACCTTCCATCTACGATAATAGAGGCAAGTAAGGACGTGAATATGCGTAAGAATGTAGCGTCGAACATGGTTAGTTTACCTGATGCGATCTACCCTTGACCTCTACAAACGTTCCCTGCTGTTTCTCCACGTCCAATGGAATACCATTGGGGTAAATGTCTTTGACTGTTGGAAGAAACACGGCATCTACACTATTTGTAGCCTCTAGCAGCTCGAGATCTTTTTCTAACATTCGCGGATATTTGTCTAAATCTTCATGTGGTGCAAATTGAGCTGGGTTTACGAATATCGACACTGCCACTGTATCACATATACCAGCCGCTTGTTTTGCTGTGTGATAAGGTACATGTTAATAACGACGTGCTTGACTCAATTCATTGAGATTCTTTCCATCTTAATTTACCAAGACTTAAATGTCCTTCGTGCAGTCCACCCATCGTCGGAACAAATCCCAACGTCCTGCCCTCTGTCGCAAGCTTCTGCCTCCATTCACGTAATGATGGTATCGTTTTGAATATCGTTATTGTTTTCTTGTCTTTAAATATAGTCTATGACACGTTAATAATACTTGCAGGTTTAATGCCAGCGATACATTAGAAACTTTAGTAGAATTCTTGTAATACCTTGCAGCGTAGCGGCCGAGGTAGAAAATGGCCGGGCACTTTGCCTCCTCGTAAGAGCGTATGTGTTAAAAGTCGAAAGCGCTAATTTCTCCAAAACTTTACGCATTTGTAAAATTATCAAGAAATATCGATCTCATCTGTGCGATCTTTATGAAATTTCTGTGTTCACACAGCATTAGTTTATTGTTCGTCCCACTTTGTCTTCATGTTATAGCAAACTAGTAATTGTTCGAGAAGTAATCATACGATATGATATGATCGATACTTCATAATCTCGCCGAATTCTGCTCCTGCGACAGAAGTCACGTTCTACGAGTACACCACGCGAAAATTTTATTCCATGTGACATTATCAGTTATTGATTTAGATGAGATCCATTTGTGAAGGCTGTCTTGATGTATTTTCTTTATTTTTTTCTTACGGGATTATGCGACAGAAACGAGCAAAGCAGTACAAACGGCATATGACTCTATACCATATTTCATTTGGTTTTAGGGAACCATATCAAGTTATATGTTAGCGTTGTTCTGTTACTAGTTCGATACTATTGTCTTTGGAACGATTAAAATAATATACTGTTTCACCTTGGTAGTTGATAGCTCGTTCCTCTTGACTGCTGCCACACATAAAATTGATATCAAAACCCTACTGCCAAAGGTTATGCAAGGAACGATTAAACACAGTACGTTGATGACTGCACTCGCTTTGATATACTATTCTATCTCTAACGTTTCATTTTTTCACAGTGTACACATTATGTGTATTTCATGAACTAAAATCTAGTGACCAAAACTTTGTTCCTGAACTGTTAATTGAAGGTTTCGAACGCCGCAAGTGTCCTCATAGGAAGGACCCCGTTTCCAGCGATGAATGCTTGGCATCTATAATAGGTACTTTTTGCAACCCATTGTGCAAGCATTTCTGATCAAGAGATAACGTTGGTTGTATACAAATTCTTCTAAGGTAGTGAAAACCAACATCGATACTGTATCGCGACCCAAAACCGAAATCTCCGTGAGCAATTACGCGCCATACCAGGGGTTCCATTGATATATATGAACCGGACGGTATTAATTCTTGAACCACCTTCTAATGTCACTCTTGAAAAAGCGAGAAAGGTCGGTGAGCGATTTTTGATGTCGAATTGTTTTGATCTACAAAACAATTGTTTATACAGCTATATTAGACATGTTTTTTTGATCCATATTATTTCCACACTTGATTACAGATTGAACGCCTAAAAACGCTTCCTTCTCAGATGGAAATCTCGTTCCTCAACAAAACAAACCCAGATGCAACTAAAAGCGATCAGCTACCAATAAAACGTAAACGTAAGCGTCCAAAAGGACCAAATCCACTTAGTTGTAAGAAAAAAAAGAAAAAAGAGATTCCTCCGCCAAAAAAGAAACGCAAAAAGGAACCTAAGAATGAGGAAAGTGGTGAACGTGAGGATAACAGAACAAGTGAGCCAGCTCCGAAAATTATTGAAGAAAGTCGCAATCAGCGGTCTGAAAGTTAAGTTATTTTAAACGTGTGATGAGAGCTTGTCTCTCGTGAAAACCCAGAAAGACCAAACCATTCCACTTCATAATCTACTATTCTTAAGCTTTTGTGTTGCCCTTGTGGCAGTAGCCTAGTCCGCTTCTTGTTTCTGCCGGTGATAGGAAACTGGCACGAGTTTTCAAGGAGGCTTGCTTTTCGCTTTGCACTGGATCGAGCTTGTGGTTGTATAGTTCCAAGAGGGCAAATGGACCGAGTAACATTATTACCAAAAGTCAAAATGCGTCGATTGCGCGCAGTGTTACAAGCCAAAAGCAATCTAAAATCGATTCATTTTTTTATGTTTATTTTCTGTTAATAAAACATTATTTATGAAAGCTTCAGTATGCCGAATGTACTTTAAGATAGAAAGAGGATATCTTCTCGCTTTACCGAATTTCCGTTGTAACGAATCATAGATGTCTACCCGCGGTTTCGGTATAATGGGGTTTGACTGTATACTCTCGCTATTACTATATGGGAAAACAAGCGAGCGAGCTATATGGATAATATGGTAATAGCCCATTCTCACTAATGCCATTTACTATTCGCTTCCTGTAGTGCTTGGCCTTTTCCAAGCGCGTTGTTAATTCGCACACCAGGTTTTCCGATTTTTGTATTGCAGATGCTTTACTCTCAAGTAAAAAGAATTCAAGCATATAATTACTTTTATTATTACCAACAAAAATAAGCAAATACGCTGTCATGAATAAATTACACCATATTGGACGCTATTACTTTTGAGCCTGTGCAGTCTCGACACTGGCACGAAGCTTGGATATAGTGTCCGCAGGATTAGGAGACCCAAAGATCGAAGTTCCAGCAACGATCACGTTGGCTCCAGCATTAGCTGCAATATCTATATTGTCAAGTCCTAAACCACCATCAACTTCGATATCGAGATTAGGGAATTTCTCGCGAAGCACTTTAACCTTGTAAGCGGAATAAGTGAATAAATATTAAATCATCAGATCTTTATATAGATGGCGTGGTTTTGCAATTAACTACCTTCTCGATACACTTTTCCATGAATTTCTGTCCACCGAAACCTGGCTCAACTGTCATAACTAGGCACATATCCATCACGTCAGCTATTGGGAACACGGTCTCTATAGGTGTTTTCGGCTTGACAGCAACACCTGCCCTCATGCCGTGTTCGTGAATCTTATCGATAAGGGCCTTTGAATCTTCTCCTATGTCAAGAAATGATATAAATTTACGGAATACCCTCATAATCAACAGTTTTAATATTTCATACCTGCTGCCTCAATATGGAATGTGTACATTGAGGCACCAGCTTTTGCAAAGTCTTCGACCCACTACCATATGGAAAATGTTCAATATTAGTTTAACTAGATTGAGATTGATTTCAAATCATCTCGGTTTACCTTGTCAGGATCGGTAACCATCAAGTGGCAATCTGTTAAAACATGAATGTAGATGTAGTCTGACATAACGAATAGTTTGCACGTTAAGACGGTTGAACTTACCAAGAAATGTATCAACATGCTTCCTGACGGATTTGATGATTGGCGCTCCAATTGTGATATTAGGGACGAAATGGCTAGAATTGGTGAAGATTACATTACTCAATCTTCTATCATGCTTAAATTATAAGGTAACTTACCCATCCATTACATCTGCAAGAACGTGTCCTTATTAGTCCATATCCATCACTTTTTGTAATATAGATTGTCTCTCACTCACCCATATGTAGCCAATCTGCGCCATCTTCAACCATGCGCTTGCACTCTACAGCAAGTTGTGAAAAATCACTTGAGAGAATTGAAGGAGCAATTTTGGCGCTTGGCATTTTAAGTTTTTGTAATGTCTGCGCTGAAAACGTTTGCCTTACTATCCGAGCTCATTAATAAATTGAGCCTGTCGATTATATCAACGTGACATGAGATCGACAATTACTCTTCAGAAATTGGTTACAATCTTCAACCAGTTGAAATATTGTGTCGCAAACAGATTATTGCGCTCATATGCAACAAAACCAGACAAAATGAACATTCTGTTTTGTGACATAAATGAGAGGCTGATTATGATGTGGCTGTAAAATTGATCAGTGTGACTGATGACGTTTTGAAAAGTAATAGACTTGTTAATTTTAATGCTCACTTTATCATACCAGAATGTGAGGAATATAAATCATAATGAGATAAATATAGGATTACCTCTATATATAAAATATTAATATGAAACTAAATTTACATTAAATCCACTATGGAACCCAAGAATTACAGCACTATTAGAAGCATTCTTAAAAGAGCTCAAGGAGAAAAAATTGCTCCCTATGTTTTTAAAATCAATGATACCCAAACTCTCCAGCAATATCTAGATCAAGAAAAAATTACTTATGAAATTTATCAAGAGGGACGGAAATTTATAATTACTAAACGA